GAATTGAAGTCCACACATCTTCAAGTTGCCAAGGTTGAGAAACACTAGTCCAAACACTGGCTATTCTGTGCACCCAACAAGGGTGCTTTCTTATCCTTGCTTCGTCGTATGAATTCTTACCTCCCGTTCTCTTTTAGTGCCTCGCAGGAACCAAACGTCTCCCATGATCCCAACCACGGTGATTTCTTAACCCTAATTGATGGTTTAGTGGGCTGGGCCAAGACAACCTGAGAGAGCATGCTGAAATCTGGAGCTCTGAAGGTTTCCGCAGGCTTGCAATCCCAGCCTCATCCAGCCAAGCCGGTTGGGGATGATGGGAATTGTGATCCAATGCCCTTTCAGGCACCTGGTTGAGGAAGGCTGGCCAAAATGTTATTTGGAGAACAGAGCTAGATCATCATCATTCACAAAACAACCTGCAGAAGCTCACCCAGTTGATTTTCTGCAGGACCAAATTCACAAGATATGAGGGAGGTTAGGCTGAGATGGGACTGGAGAAACTCCCCTGGATTTCCCTGCTCCTAGCTCACCCACTGAACCATTTCCTAGCCCTGGCAGGGGGACAACGCTAGACAGGATCCCCATGGAACTTTCTTCTGAACCGATCTCCCGGATCATCCCCCCTAGAGATCGGTGGGATGGATATCAATGGGATCGAGAAAGAATCCAGTTCAGAAAAGGCGACCTCCTGAAGCCTACGCTCTCTCACCCATTGGCTAAACTGGCTGGGGCTGTCGGCAGCCACTTTTGACAGATGCCCCGGCCGGGGCGCCCGGAGGCGCCGGATCCGCCCGATGGACGGGGCCAAGGTTGCGCCTTCCCCGGTCTACTCGGTGCGGCTCCGCACGAGCGCAGCAAGGTGGAACGGGGCGCTGGGCGGGCGCAGCAATGCTGAGGAGCCCGCCATCCTGGCAGGCAGGTTTAGAGGCGAAACGGAGCCTGCCAACCCCACTGAATTGCCTGCGGTTTACTCCCAGGTGAGCAGGGACCGCGCGTCAGGGGCGAGAGAGGGGGACCTGCCAGATGCCTTTGCCGGCGGGGGATGAACGGGAGGCGGAATCCAACCCGCTAAAAATGGGATGTGCGAACAGTAGCGTTATCTCGAGACAGAGAAAGAGAGAGAGAGAGCGCGATCTTTCAGGCAAAGTCCCCGGGAAGCGCCCGGAGAACAGAAGCTGCCTTTACTTGAGACTAAACCCACTGACGACCATGAGAATTGCGCCCGTGCACGCCCAGCGCTGCACCGTTCCAAACACACCCCAGACACGCGTCTCTCGTCCGGGCGAGACCCGACCTGGGTCTTCAGAAGAACCGCTGCTGTCACGTGACGCGAAAGCTCCCGGCCAATGAGCGCCCGAGGAGGGGCATATAAAGCTGGGGAGAAGCGGAGTTCTGCGCTGTGCTTTGATACCGGGCATCCTCGCCTGAGCAGCTGGGCAAAGCGGAGCGGCGTCGGATTGAAACCCTTCCCGGGGCAAGGCGAGCGAATCCAGAGCAACTCGGGGGTCCGCGCCCATATTTCCCCCATTTTTCAACGCGGAGTGTGGGTGAGTATCCTCCTGAAAAGCAGTTTAGACTTCATCCAGAAACATTTTCCTGGTAAGTCTGCAAGGAAAGCGATGTTAAAAGGCTCCCGGCCAGGATCGCTCATTTTATGAAGTCTGGCTTCTGTGCGTCTCTCTGCAGATGGTGATCTAGGACCGGCACCTGTTATAAAACAGCTGAAACGGTCTTTCTGAAGGTTAAGGTGTGTCTCTATCAATGTGTTGGTGTAAGACTCCTGAACATGTGCAGACAACCTTTCAGATGCCACGTGGAACTACCGTGGTTGTGCCAAATGCAACTGGGGAGGGGGAGAATCCTGGTTACTTATTTATCTGGCAGCATCAGAAATCTGTCTGAATCCAGACAAACTCTGCCTTGCACCCCCTTCTTCTTAAGAAAAAGATGGTGAGATCTGCTGCAGGCTAGACAATAAAACTTCCCCTGTGCTGAAGTTCCCTTGGCAACTTGTATCCTAACACATCAGGGGCACGTGAGATTGGGGAGCTTGACATAGACCAGGGGTCCCCAAAACTCTTCAGCTCACTGACCCCTTCTTGAAGTTTCAGATTGTTCATCAACCCCCTGACATTTATTATATGACAATAATTTAATAAATATGACTTTAACAACAACAATATGGATAGTCCCATAGACCCTTGGGGGTTTGATACCAACCACTTTGGGGAACTCTGATAGACAAAAAGCAGTATTAAGAATATATGAGAAATACACACATCTCTCTGCTGGACAAGAGTACTCCATGTAAGTATGACCCAGGTAGTCATCTTCCTGGGGAGGACGCATCAACCAGGGAAATCACATGTTCCCAGTATTCAAACCATGAGCTGCTGATGTGAGAATGCAATTCCTCACCAGCTGCAATGGCACTGATGATAGTGCCATTGATGGTGGGACCTCACCTTTCTTCTTTCTTGCCCCATTAAAATGTCCTATCGATGGTGGACTCCTGTCCTCCTTGGGCGGTTGTACATCTTCCTGGTGTTGAAGGAACTATCTTAGCTAATCTGGGGAAATATGTCTCCAGGAGGAATTCATAATAGTGATCTTCATAATAGTGATAAACATATTTAAAACCGTTTCTCCGCTTCAAAATTTAGAACATAGTTCCCTTTTCCCCATATTCTGCCCTTATTAATCAGTAAATCCAGAAATCATCAGTTCATTTTTATCTATTTTCCACAAAAAGTCCATGAAGGGTTTTCAATCTTTTATAAAAGTAGCAGTTCTTCTCTCCCTAATCAAACAAGTCAGTTTAGCCATGTCTGCAAATTCAGCCATCTTCACCATCCCTTCCTCCGTTATAGTTACCATATTTCTGTATAGTGTTTCTCAACCTCGGCAGCTTGAAGATGTGTGGACTTCAACTCCCAGAATTCCCCAGCCAGCCTCGGCAACTTGAAGATACGTGGGCTTCAACTCCCAGAATTCCCCAGCCAGCCTCGGCAACTTGAAGATACGTGGGCTTCAACTCCCAGAATTCCCCAGCCAGCCTCGGCAACTTGAAGATACGTGGGCTTCAACTCCCAGAATTCCCCAGCCAGCATGCTGGCTGGGGAATTCTGGGAGTTGAAGCCCACGTATCTTCAAGTTGCCGAGGCTGAGAAACACTGTTCTATATTATTCAATTTTTGTGTATATAATAACCTTGCTGCTGTTACTATATAAAATAAATCGGCAGTTCGGTTGGCTGTAGAATTCTGGGATTCATCCTATTCCTTTCTTCTCTCCTTCTCTGCTCACCAGGGGACCATAACATTTAGGAAGATGAAGTCTGTATTGATAGGAAGCCAACGCATTGTCTCTGTCTCAGAAATCCTCATCAGCACGGCTGTTTTCTGTCTATTGCTGGTTATACTCAAAGCCTGGCAACGGATCCCACCAGGATTAAGGAAGCTACGAGGGCCAAGGGGGTATCCCTTTATTGGGAATATCTTGGACCTGGGGAAGAATCCCCATCTGGCTTTGACACAGATGAGCCAGAAGTATGGTGACATCATGCTAATTCATCTTGGTACAAGACCAGTGCTGGTGTTGAGTGGGTTGGAAACTATCAAGCAAGCTCTAGTCAAACAAGGGAGTGACTTTGTGGGACGCCCAGATCTCCACAGCTTCAAGTTCATTGGTAATGGCGAGACCTTCACCTTTGGTAGGAATTCTGAGGAAAGCTGGCGAGTTCGCCGAAGGCTGGCCCAAAATGCTCTCAAGACCTTTGCAATGTCAATCAGTCCAAACTCATCGACTTGCCTGCTGGAGGAACACATCTCCAAAGAGGCAGAATATCTTGTCATGAAATTCCAAGATCTGATGAAAGAGAAGGAGAGTTTTGACCCTTCACAATATGTGGTGATCTCTGTAGTCAATGTTATCTGTGCCATGTGTTTTGGGAAGCATTACAACCATGAGGATCAAGAACTGCTTAGCATAGTGGACATAAACAATGATTTTGGTGCAGTGGCCGCTTCCGGGAACCCAGCTGATTTCTTCCCGATCCTCCAATATCTTCCTAGCCGCAGCATAGAAACCTTCAAGGATTTGAACCAGCGATTCAACATGCTGGTGGAGAATCTGGTTAAAGAACATTATGTGAGCTTTGACAAGGTGTGTCATTAGGCATTAGGACTATATCCAGTCTCTTGGGCATCAAACAAGGCTTGGAGGGGGCATATTTGGTGCTAACGCCTTAGATCATTGTTTCTCAACCTTGGCAGCTTGAAGATGTGTGGACTTCAATGCCCAGAATTCCCCAGCCA